CGGCTCCTTCAGCCGTGGTTGTGCAGCGCGGCTCTTAACACGCGTTTTTCCTGTGTCCTCCCTCCGGTTGCGTTACCAATCCCCACCCTCCCCCTGCGGCTTAAAGCCAGTTTTGGTGATACAAGTGACCTCCCTTCTCTCCCTGTCAGATCGAGGAGCCGCCGAAGGACCTGATTTAGCTTGCTGGTCCTATAGTAAACGCGCTATTTGTCTGCCAGCTCAGCACGTCTAACCCACTTTCCTTATGGCCCTTGTGGTCTCTGTATCCGTGAAAAGGTAGTGGCAAGAGGCAGCAAGACGTCTCCCTAAAAGGGCAGTCCGGCTAGGTCATTGCTAGAACATTTAACTTTTAGCATCTGAAGGCTGAAGGATCCGGGCAAGCTGAATGCCGGAAGATGCAGTCTGTGTGTTCCAGCCGGTGCCCTGTACCATATGCCTCAATCAGACTTCTATTTTTTTCTCATTTCACATTTTGATATTTTAGCTATTTTGTTTTAGGGGGAGGGGGGAAACAAGTGCAAGAGCAGGAATTTTTACTCTGAGGACTTCAAATGTTGACAAATTGTGTCTTTCTGGTTTAATAAAAAATGGGTAAGTGTCACTGCAGCCTCTTTCTCTGTATATTTAGGTGACTGAAGCGTTTGTAAGCAGACAGAATGACATTGCAAATAACAGTCAGCCCTATTTGAAGATTTGGGGATATCTTTATAGGAGTACTATCAGATTAAGCGCAGTTTTCTGACTTTGTGAGGAACTGACTGACCTTTGTAAAGACTACATGGTTAGAATTTTCTTTCCCTTTGAATAGCGTGCAGTTTCGTCCAGCTAGCGTTCTTCTCTAGTGTTAGTGAGTATCTTAGTATCTTAGGGTGTTTTTTGTAAAAATGAGGAAAACAGAATTCTAAATAGGAGTTAGAAACCATGGACCTGTGTAGTACCTGAAATAATGTAGTTCTTCTTCTGATAGTAACATAAATCAGTCATTGTCTTTGGAAACACTCTTCCATTTTGATCTTAAAATATGTTTTCCTTCATTTTTAGGCTAACTTACTTGGCAAAGGTTGTGTGTGTTATATCACTGTTATATGTTGCTGTCAAGTTACTTTCCCACAGTTGACTAGACTGTAGTTCCACACAAATTTGTTTACTGAAGCGGCCTCTGTCCCTCTCTCCTGGCTGTTTCCTTCCCGCCTCACCTAATTGTGTGCATGGTGCTTGCTCAGCTGTTAGTGCAGCCATGTGGAGAACATAGATCAGGGAATCATTCTACGTAAAAATTAATTTTTATTTTCCCCCAAATTAATTTTTCGTTTGAAGTGCTGCATTGCTACATGATATGTGGCTGAGAGGGGACTGGTTAAGCCAACAGAAATGGTATTGCTGCTGAAGATAAAATTTCAGCTTCGTGCTTACTTAAAACTGAAGAGTGAGGTTCTGTGCCATTTTAAATTCATTTAAATTGAGGGTGAATCTGCTCCTGGCTGTGTCTCTGTCCTTCTTTCCTCATATCCTCAGTGGAAGCATTTGTGGGATAATGTGATGAGCTTGTTTAAAAAAACAGTCAATCTGAAAACTGTTTTTTGTTTGTTTGTTTTGTTTTTTTAACTCCTCTCCCCCGACGCAGGTTAATTTTCAGTAGAGCAGCCCCTGAACTGTATTGCCACATGTTACCTCTAGCACTAGTCTTGATGCAGTGAGTGGGATGGTGGCAATGGCTGGCTGGGCCCTCTTCAGTCCATGTGCGTTAACCTGAGCTGCCTGAGAACCGTATCTCAAGTTGTGCCTGAAATCCTAACCAGGACTTTACTGAAAGAGTTGAATATAAGCTAATCTTTAAATATGGACTTCAATGCCCTTTTAAACTTCCTTTTCCTGCTGTTAGGTTCTTTTCACTCCTGAAAATTTATCTACTTATTTCTGTAACTTAGGAAGCTAACTTTAGACTTTTGTTATTTAACGTTCAATATTGATTTAAATGCCGATATCAGGGAAGTGTGTACTGTAATTTACTGCACCAGCTTACATGTATCATGCTTACATTGTTTATTGCTATAACAAAAATGTGTTTATGCAAGTCTTATTTGAGACTTAGAAGATACTAGAAAAGAACACCTGTGCTCGTGGAAAACAATTTAAGGAGCAAGAGGAAGAATTACCAACTTTGCTGGTGTGATACTAAAACCCTGACTAGACCATAGCAGGAGCCACTGCTGAAGACAGTTGCATAGGCTGACTTAAGTCAGGGCTTTCCTATTAGGCCTAGTGCAGTCCTGGAGGCCAAGTCTGGATTGAGTACCAGTTTCAGAATGTGCGAAAGGAATTTAATCTACACTTGGTGCATAATAATGCAAAATTTTTATTTCTTACGATGAATAAAAACCTAATTCTGTGTGCCTAAGACATGATTTCTAATATCTTTTTCAGGTACATATGTTAAATATTTGCAAATCATACTAAAAGGAATATGTAATGCAGTCTCATTAGGAAAGACCTTAGAATTATCAGCTATTCAGACTACTTTGACTGTATTTTTTGCTACCTCTGTTTACATCTAAACCCTCCAGGAGATGTTCGTTCTGAGGATCTGCCACAGTATCAACAGCAGAAATTTTCACATCAGTCATCTGGGACTTCTTACAGGAAAGACCAGTATTTTCCAAAAGGGCAAAATAGAGGAGGAAGAGGCAGAGGAAGAGGAGGATGGCAAGGAGAATGCCAGAGTGCTTCTGAGGAAATGCCTAAATACATTACAGGTTTGCATTTTTGAAAAAGGTCATAATTTATAAGTCCAGGGCAACTTGCTAGTAATTAAGTTTGCTGTCTTTGTTTTTGTGCAGTAGCAAAAGTTAGAACTGAAGCTATGTATTTGGCATGTGCGTTTGGTCTTCTGTTTTACCTGATTTTTTCCAAAATACAGAAATAGTTGTGTACTAGAATGGATGACTAGTAGTTATTCAGTGAGTCCTTTCAGTCCTCTTGAGTTGAAAAGTTGCACTTACTTGTAAGGAGGGGTATGGATTTCTGTGCTGTTTGCCAGCATAATGAATACTGAAATCTGCTTTTAATGTGCCCGGTGAAACTGCTTATGCTCATCATATGAGTTAAGGACAACTTTTCTTCTAACCGAACCTTTATTTAGGAAAGCAGAGGGACAAATCAGTTTTTTCAAAATGTGGCGGTGCTGTGTTAATGCATATGCTTCCATGATCCTAAAAATCAGCAACTTTCTTTACTTGTTTATTTGATCTTTTTAAAAAACTCCAAATGCTGCTTCCTCTTTTTCCATGTTGAAGTTTTTTCACTTCTGTGAACAACACCTGAAAAGGTTGCTACTGTAATTTAACAGAAAAGTACTTAATTCGAATAGGACTTCTCGGTTATACCAAAACTTTCAAATTCATGCTCCTATGAGTATTTGCTTAACCATATCTGTAAACTTCAGAATATCTGAAGAGTGGAAATTACTTCAGTAACAGACAGTATACAATATTTACTTTTGTCTCAAGGAGTCATTAGACTGATGTACTGTAAGAGTACTCTGCTGGAATTCAGTAATTTAAGTACAGAGTCATCCTCTGTGATTCTTACTATTTGTCATGCTCTGATGTGCTTCTTCTCATTCCAGCATCTACTTTTGCTCAAGCCCGTGCTGCTGAGATCAATGCCATGTTGAAGGCAGTTGCGCAGAAGTCTTCAAACTCTCTGGTTTTCCAGACTCTACCTAGGCACATGCGAAGGCGAGCTATGAGTCACAATATTAAACGCCTACCCAGGCGGCTCCAGGAGATTGCCAGGAAAGAGGTACAAGTGC